AGTTTTTTTTAAAAGTACACCTCATCTATACCGATAATACATAATATAAAAATATTTAATATAAGCACCAGTACTACATTTATTTACGATTTGCATACATAATAAGCTTTTATTACTCTCTTTCATTTCTAAAGAGACTATAAAAAGGTCTCAGAACGGAACCCTGAGGTACACCGGATGTAAATTTAATGCCAAAGTATTGGATTCTGCTGGTTAAATATGCGTTAAGCAATTGCAAAGGTAAATTAGAAACGCCAATTTCAGAAAGGATGCTACAATGGACAACGCGAGACATTTAATCACGTAGCCGCTGCTTCTGATCGATTAAACGTCGAGATCCGTTTTGGCGAGACTACGTGAGGACTGTCGTTGTGTTTTATTTGCACCATTCCAGACATACCAGTCCACAGCAGAACGGTTAGTATATCGATTAAAGCAAAGGGCCACGTTCGTATTGTTAGGTTGATATATTGTTCTACAGGTGTGTGTAACTTTACTACGTATAAACACTATTAAATATTAGTAAGTAGTAATATTAGCATAATATTAGCAAGCGGAGGAATGGTGAGGTGGTGATACTCTAGACATAAACGCCTTATGCAACTCTTTCATTGCTGACAAAAAAGCCATCTAAATAAATGCCGACTTAAAAATAGCATCCTTAAACATGAAGGTCGCTAGGTTGGTCTAGACAGGAATTATAGTTGCCTGTCCAGTATAAATCCGCGCTATATATTTCGCGTTAGCGCGACGACGGACGTGTCAGATAATCTCTGTGATGGTTTTTCCGTCCTGTCAGCTCCTTGCACTGGGGATTAAAAGATGATATATCTGTCCCCTGTCTTGCTGTCTGTTAGAGTTAGACAACAAGGTATTGCAACTGGTAAATGTTAAACTTAGGACAACTGTTAATTGTTTTATACAATCGTTTTCCTTATGAGTAAGAAACTATTATTTTGTTAATTTTTGCTGGTACTTTTGTGACTAAAATTACATAGAAGCTATTTGAAATCTATAGAGAAAAATAGATTTTTACAGACAGATAGTCACATTGGTGTTTTTCTTATTTTTTAAGAATACCTTCGCTTTTGAATACTTGTTCACTCTTTTTAACACCATATTCACCTTTAAGGATGAAATTTTATCTTCGAATAAATAAATCTTTATTTTCAACCTATTGTGAACATTTTTTACGTTTTACATTGAGAATCCTTTTCGCTATATTTAATTTTTATGGGTTTTATTCAGGACAATGAGAAAAGCTCTTAGTAAGTTGCCGCTTTTTAACATAGGACCCCTCTACTGATATATTCCTTATATATCCTTTGAAAACAGATTGCAGTCCATTTGTTGAAATATACTTGGTGTCTCAAAAAGTCCTTCAATAACTGATAAGACATCAAATGCTGATGATCTTAGATTTGACCTGGACCTTACATATCAAGGTCAAACCAAGGTTAAGTGCTAGATTGAGTTAAAAACATCTATTAAATTATATTAGGTACTTTTATATCCACAATATTCTTGAGAAAACTGAGTATGACCTTCAAATAACCTGTAAGGTCACCATGGAAAATTTTTTTGATCCTAGATTCGACATAAAATTGGGCGCTGTATCCGTTGCTGCCATAAAAACCAAAGTATTCCATTTAATATTAAGTGAACCTTAGTTTGACCTTGCAACTTATGGTGAAGGTCATATCCAAGGTTACCATCTAATATGTCACTCAAAATCCGACACAATTTGCTTAAAACATTATTTTCGAGTTTAAAAGAATAGTATCATGTCCAAATAACTTGCAAGAACATAACAGAAAAAAAATTCTGAAGCCATTTATACCTATAAATCATATACAGGGTGATTCACAACTTATCCAAAAATGGAATCAATATTGGTGGCTTCTCTGACGAGATATTTACCTGTATATATTAAAATGGGAGATCCGGTATTTTTTGAGAAGTGTTTTATTTGTAATTAACTCCAGCTGGGTCTAGTTAAGGAGGTTGTAGATTAAATATATTCTCGGACAAACTTCAAGTGTTTTTCTTTTGCTAGATTTGATCCATCGTTTGTTTGTAAAACGTTTTTCTTGTTTGTATGTAGGATCCATCACTCTAAATTTTAAAGAAAATCAAACGAAAAGCTCTGTGAAAGTCCCCAGGGTTTACTTTCAAGCCGTTGTTTAAATTGGGGACTACTTTCCCTTTTCACTCACTGTTACATAGAAGATAAGTGTCTCTAGAGACTGATTTTGTCGTTAAAGTAACTATCTGGAGCTTACATAAACTTTGTGAATGCAGGAAACAATTTTTTAACAAAGACAGTTGTATTTAGGTACTTGAATATATATGTATACAGGGTGTTTAGTAAATAATAGCACCCCTTTTAACAAATGATAGAAATAATAATCAAATTCAAATGTGTTCAAATACTGTATTGAGGAAAAATATATCAGATTTTCTAAAATATCTCTGCGGATGGCCCACGTATGGAACCTTGCGGTAGAATTTTGATTTGTTAATCAAATAACTCAGATTTGTAATCACGATGTACAAACTGATCCTGTTGGGAAATACATAATTTTAACGTAACAAAAGAGAGATAAAGACATTGTAAGCTTCTGAGGAGCAATGACGTTTAAGATGTGACATATGACATATGGTTATACCAAAGTTGTATCTCATATACGTAGAACTAGGATCAGGCTTAGCTGTCGAAAGAAGTTGTGGAAATGTAAAAATATTTATCTTTCTTCTGTGAGTGCAGCCAAGTAGAAAGAGCCATAATTAGGCATAGTATCGACCAGTTTCATACAAATAACAACAAAAAGAGGGGGAACTCATGATATCCTACGACTGCTTTTTGAATTTTACTGAGCTGCACCACGCATTGTTCGCAGCGATCGATGTCAAAGTAAAATAATGTTTAATTAATAAAGCAAATGAAGGTAATCAATTTTAAGGGCTTTTTCTTCAGTATGTGAAAAAAATATTGGTTTCATTAGCACAATGAATGTTCTTTGATGTTAGTCTTTTGGTATAAACAACAGTAGGTATTTTGATTAAATACTACCTACTATATTAATGAAGCAAACTAGGGATAATTAATTTTGTTCCTTTATTTTTCAATATCAAGCATTTGGCTTCATTAGAATATTGAATGACTTAGATTTTAATTCCGTATAATTACAACATTTATTAACACATAGCTACCAACCTTGTAATGAAATGTTAATAATTCTATTAATACGAACAGCATTAATACTGTTTTGTCATTACCGTTATTTATGATTGAATAATTTTGGTGGGTGAAACTTCTTTGAGTTGAAACCACGTATGTCTGCAAAATACTTTTTGTACCCTTGCGGGCATAAAAGAAACTATTCTGCGAAAAATTACAGCTTTTGTTTTGTCGAGCTTAGAGAGGCAAAATATCCATTCGAGATATTTTCCAATATTTTTTCGAAAACTACAATAAAATAAGACAATTAATTGTGTTATATACAATTTAATTTATATTTGAAATCGATTGAACCGTGTTTGAATCAAGACGGTTTAGGGTCGGTAACCTAATAAACAATAAAAATTAGTTGTTTGAAAAAGTAGTGTCAGAATTATATATTGTAATTCATATTTTAAGTGTTTAATTCAAAATGAGCTCGGAAAATGAAGAC